TGACCAATTTCTTTGATTTATAAAGAGGGATATTAAAAAGAAGCAGACTTTCTGTGGGGTTCATTTCAAAACTGGAAAAGGGCTGAGAATAAGAGTTTAAAGAGGTAAATTAAGGAGAATGATTAAGTGTGGAATCTTCCATTTTTCTGTTTTCTGGATCGAGAGTTCAGGTGTACTGGTTCTCTGAAGTCATCTATAAGAAGTTAGATTAAGTGTAGTTCTAGATTGAGCCTCATGTGAATTTCTCTAAAGAAGGGTGTCTAAAGCTTATACTCTTTTTTTTGGTAGTTTCTACATTTTTATTATAAGGATTTCAGACATATTACAATGGTAGAGAAGTATTATGAACTTTCAAATTCTTATCACCCATCTATACCACTGCTTATTCCTTGTCCTTCCATTATCTTAATCTAATTATATCAAATAGCATATAATTTCATCTGAAAATATTTTAGTAAGACTCTCTAAACCAGTGGTTCTCAACCTTCCTAATGCCGTGACCCTCTAATACAGTTCCTCATGTTGTATTGACCCCCAATCATAAAATTATTTTTGTTGCTACTTCATAACTAATTTTGCTACTGTTATGTCTTAGGCAACTCCTGTGAAAGGGTCGTTCAACCCCCAAGGGCTTGCGACCCACAGGTTGAGAACCACTGCAACTATAAAAGATGATGATGTTAAGCACAACTGTAGTACCATTACATTTTAGTAAACGTTTAAGGAAACCTGTTCAGGACTAACCTTTTATGCTGCCTTGGAGACTCACCAGATGAATAAATAAAAGATTCATCATAATATTTTACTTCTGTTTTATTTTAGAAGTATATTATTCTATTAAAATAGTATATTGATAATCCATCTGAATAACAAAGACTCATTTATCCTTCAAATTGGGATACTTTGATAGCAAAAGGGGTACTATTAACACTATTAACAGTTATGCTAGGAAACCAGTTGAAATCTAGGACTGTCAGTAAACTGGGCTACATGTGGTCTCCTATCTCAAGGTAATATTTACTGGTTAAATAGCTGCTATTATTTTCTTCAGTGAATTTTGAATAGTCACAATGAGTCAAGTGGTAGCTAAGAGCATGATGAACCTTATTATAGAACTTTCTTTACTAGTAAATAATACAAAATGGTATGGTTAGATCAAGTCTAAAATTTTTTAAGTGCCTATAGATTTCAGCTTGGTTCTTTTTTTTAAAATATGTTTTTATTGATTTTTATTAATTTATTTTTGTTACAGATGTTTCTCCTTTTCCCCCCACTGATTCCCCCCTTCCTCTCCCTCCCCGCCCTGTCCCCAGCTTTGTTGTCCATGTCCACTGTTCATGCATACATGCATATAAGTTCTATGGTTTATCTCTCCCCCACCACCCCCTCTACTGGGGATTGTCAGTCTGTACCCCATTTCCAAATCTCTGAGACTACCCCATTCCTCAGACTATTATGTTCATTATATTCCACAAATAAGTGAGATCATATGATACTTGTCTTTCTCTGTTTGGCTTGATTCGCTTAGGATAATACTTTCCAGGTCCCTCCATGTCATCCCAAAGGATAAGAGATCTTTCTTTCTTATAGCTGCATAGTACTCCATTGTGTATATGTACCACAGCTTTTTTATCCATTCGTCTACTGATGGGCATTCAGGCTGTTTCCAGATCTTAGCTATTGTAAATCGTGCTGCTACGAACATGGGGGTACATATATTCTTTCTGATTGGTGTTTCAGGCTTCTTAGGGTATTTTCCTAGAAGTGGGATCACTGGGTCAAATGGCAGTTCAATTTTTAATTTTTTGAGGTAACACCATACTGTTTTCCATAGTGGCTGCACCAGTCTGCATTCCCACCAGCAGTGTACTAGATATTGACTTTTATTTAGAGAGAGAGATAGAAATATCAATGGAGAGAGAAATATCGATCATTGCCTCCTGCATGCCCCCCACTGGGGATCGAGCCTGCAACCTGGGCATGTGCCCTGACCAGGAATCAAACCGGAACCTCTCAGTTCATGGGAGGACGCTCAGTCCACTGAGCCACACCAGCCTGGCTTGACTTGGTTCTTTTTTATATAAATAAATTTATATAAATAATTTATATAAAATAAATTATTTTATTTTTTTAAAGTTTTAAATTACAGTTGATATTTAGTATTACAATATTATTGACTATATTTCCTATGCTATACTTTATATCCCAGTGACTATTTTGTAACTAATTTGTACTTAATCCTGTCATCTTTTTCACCTAGCCCTGAACTTGGTTCTTAATAACACTTCCATAAAGCTAGAAGTGGAACCACCAGACATAAATCACAAATTAAAATGAACCCCTCCTTTTAAATTTGTGGTTTATAGACTTGTGGCTATTAGATAACAGAGAAATTTTTTTTTTAATCCTCACCCATGGGCATTTTTCCATTTTTTTGGTTCAGATAAAGTGGGAGGGAGAGAAAGGAAGAGAGACAGAGAAACATTGACATGAAAGGGACACATCGAGTGGCTGCCACCCTCACGACCCAACCGGGGCCAGGGACAAACTGCAACCAAGGTACGTGCCCTTAGCAGTAACCGAACCCAGGTCTCTCAGGACCGCAGGTCGATGCTCTAACTGCTGAGCCAAACCGGCCAGGGCTAGATAACCGAGAATTTAAACTAGACTATATCATAGCATAGTTAAATGAAAAGATGATAGCCAATTAAAAAATGTCAAAAAGATTTTTTGTTGAAGTTGCTAATTCACCATGATATTTAAAAAACTTTATATCCAGCATAAACTAAAGTTAGTTGTTAGCATTTCCAGTTTAGAAAATAGAACTAGACCTCCCATATCTGTTCATTTCAGGATTATGCTCTGTTATAGCAAATTATTCTCAGGGAGAGCTCCAACCTATTAGTAATGTTCTTGTTATCAATAATATTGTAAGCAACTATCTTTTTTTTTTTTTTTAATCCTCACCAGAGGATATTTTTCTATTTATCTTTAGACAGAATGGGAGGGATGGAGGGAGAGAAAGAAACATCTATGCCAGAGGCACACATCGATTGGTTGCCTCTTGCAGGACCCCCACCAGGGCCAGGATGAACCCGAAACCAAAGAAACCGAGGTACGTGCCCTTGACTGGAATCCAACCTGCGATTCTTTGGTCTGCGGGCCCATGCTATAACTGCTGAGCCAAACCGGCTAGGGCAAGCAACTACATTTTAAGAATAAAGTATACAACTATGATTCCTCTGATCAGGAACTGAAGTCAGACTTCTGGAACAAATATCTAGTTTCCTTAGGTCAGTGTTTGGAAGGAGTAAATGCCCTTTTTTAAAAAATTATTTTTATTAATTTGTCTTTGTTGCAGATGTTTCTCCTTTTTCCCCCATTGATACCCTCCTCCCCATCTCTCCCGCCCCTTCCCCAGCTTTGTTGTCTATGTCCATTGGTTATGCATACATGCATATAAGTTCTGTGGTTTATCTCTTCCCCACCAACGTCCCCTCTTCTGGGGTTTGTCAGTCTGTACCCTACCTCTATGTCTCTGGGTCAATTTTGTTCATCAGTTTGTTTAGTTCACTATATTCCACAAATAAGTGAGATCATATGATATTTGTCTTTCTCTGTTTGACTTGTTTTGCTTATCTCCAGGTCCCTCTATGTCATCTCAAATGATAAGAGATCTTTCTTTCTTACACCTGCATGGTATTGCATTGTGTACATGTACCACAGATTTTTATTCACTCATCTACTGATGGACACTTGGGTTGTTTCCAGATCTCAGCTATTGTAAGTAGTGCTGCTATGAGTATAGGGGTACATATATTCTTTCTGATTGGTGTTTCAGGCTTTTTAGGATATATTCCTAGAAGTGGGATCACTGGGTCAAATGACAGTTCAATATTTAACTTTTTGAGGTAAAACCATAGTGGCTGCACCAGTCAGCATTCCCACCAGCAGTGTACTAGAGTCCCCTTTTCTCCACATCCTCACCAACACTTGTTGTTTGATGATTTGTTGATGGCGGCCATTCTGACAGGTGATACCTCATTGTTGTTTTAATTTGCATTTCTCTAATGACTACTGACGCTGAGCATCTTTTCATATGTCTCTTGGCCATTTGTATGTCCTGTTTGGAGAGGTGTCTGTTTAGTTCCTCTGCCCATTTTTTAATTGGGTTCTTTGTCTTCCTTTTGTTGAGTTGTATGAGTACTCTATATATTTTGGAAATTAATCCCTTATCTGATGCATCATTGGCAGTTATGGTCTCCCATATGGTAGGTTCCCTTTCTATTTTGATTATTGTTTCTTTTGCTGTGCAGAAAGAAGCTTTTTAGTTTGATGTAGTCCCCTGTGTTCATTTTTTCCTTTGTTTCTCTTGCCTTAGGTGTGGTATCAGTGAAAATTCTGCTGCATATGATGCCTGTAAATGCCCTTTTATTGTGATTTTTTTCCCTTGTTTTTTCTTCCGACAGTTTTATTTGTAACATCTTTTCTATAGATAAAAGATATTCATTACATCTAGCCTCTTGTCTCACTTTTAGCTTATTTACTAAATCAACTTCAAGTTTTTAATGTTTATATGAAAAACAGTATAGTTTATATACATATATATCTTCTAAATGACTGGCTTTAATTTTGTATTATTATTGATTTTAGAGAGAGAGAAACATAGCTTTGTTGTTCCACTTACTTATGCATTCATTGGTTGCTTCTTGTGTATGCCCTGACCGGGGATCAAACCCGAAACCTTGGCTTATCGAGATGACGCTCTAACCAACTGAGCTATCCGGCCAGGGCTCCTTAAATGACTAACTTTAACTGTGGTCATTTAAAAAATTAGAACCAATCATTTATAATATATAGTATTTTGGAATTTTTTCCCCACATAGTTCTGGTGGTATGGATATGAAATCATGGTGTTTAATTCATTACATTAAAGAAATGTATTCATGGTTGTTCTCTATACATTTAAGTATTTTAAAGGTTTTTTTCTCTTTCTCTAGCTGTCCCCTTCCCTCCAACCCAACGGCTTACTTTGAAGGAAGTGTTTGAGAATGGGAAACCTAAAATTGATATCTTGAAAAACCATTTGGTGAAGGAAGGGCGACTGGAAGAGGAAGTAGCCTTAAAGATAATCAATGATGGGGCTGCCATCCTGAGACAAGAGAAGACTATGATAGAAGTAGATGCTCCAATCACAGGTATGAGAAGTATTTGCATGGCAGCACTTAGATTTGAGCTAATTTAAGAAATCACAAATAAATAACTAAAATGTGTTGTAATTTTTCTAGGAATTATGAGACAGTTTTAGGATTGTTTAGTATGTTTTATTCACTGAAGAAATACAATTTAAAGTTTCTGTTATTTCCAGTAGGACTATTCAGTGTTGATAGATTGACTATAGTTATAGAGCAGTCCAGTCAAAAACAAAAGTGATTTAAAAGTTAAACTGTGATCCCTATTGGTGTAATGCCCTTTTTTTTTCTAAGACATGATTTTTTATGTTACCCCATGTCTTTGTTTTCCTAGTGTGTGGTGACATTCATGGACAATTCTTTGACCTGATGAAGTTGTTTGAAGTTGGAGGATCACCTAGTAACACAAGCTACCTCTTTCTGGGTGACTATGTGGACAGAGGCTATTTCAGTATAGAGGTAAAAATTAAGCTAAATATGTTGGAACTACCATGTTGTCTTTTTTTCAGAGAGAGTGGAAGGGAGGGGGTGAAAGAGAGAGAGAGAGACATTGATTTGAGAGAGACACATCAGTTGCCTCCCGCATGCACACTGACTGGGGTAGGGGATTGAACCTGCAACCCAAGTACGTGCCCCTGACCAGAAATCAAACCCTTTAGTTCATAGGTCAACACACTAACCACTGTGTCACACTGGTCAGGGCTCATACTCTCTTTTTAAAAAATTTTGCTTTCCATTCTTTAGTAGAAAAAATTAAAATGAGAACATTGGCAGAATTTATAAACTTTGTTATTTTTAATCATTAAAGTGATAGAGAAATGTTTTGATATAAAATTTCTTTTCCTTTTTTTAGCCAGTAGAAAGGCTGACAAATAAAAGGCTGTATTAACCCAGCTTTGCAGATAAATTAAATGTTTACTAATCTTTCCTCTTTGAAAATAGTTTACAGGCTGTACATAAATGACATAAATTGCTAATCACCTTAAATGGGGCTTGGATTAGCTGACCTTAATTGTAAAACCATAAGCTGCTGGGCCACAGTGAACTCTTAGATTAACTGCCAATGCTAAATAAGCAGGCACTTAGTTTATCGAAGGAATAATTTCTGATGCTATTACATATAGTAAGCACTTAATAAATGTTCATTGAAGGAAAAAAATGATTAATTAATAAAGTTAACATGAAACCTCACAATTTACTTTTATTTATTTATTATTTTTATTTTTTATCCTCACCCGAGGATACTTTTTGCATTTATCCTCAGATAGAGGACAGAGAGAGAGAGAGAGAGAGAGAGAGAGACAAACATCGACATGAGAGAGACACATCGACTGGCTCCCACCCGCACAACCCCAACTGGGGCGGGGGCAAACTGCAACCGAGGTACGTGCCCTTAGCAGGAACTGAACCTGGGTCTCTCTGGTCCACGGGCTGATGCTCTAACCGCTGAGGCAAACCAGTCAGGGCACAATTTACTTTTATATATTTTGAAAATTGAATGATGAGAGGAAAAAGGTTATAATTAAAACAAACTCTAAGTTTTTATGTATAAAAGTTAAAACTATTTTAGAACCTAATGCAAGGGCTTGAGTACAGTGGAACCACAACACATTCATATTTAATGTCCATTGATTCAACTGTACATGCTTGGCAAATAAAAGAGAAGTAACATTGAAATAGTGTGGGTAATCGAATTTATAATGTGCCCAGACTAAGCATGAGATAAGGAAATTGAGTCTGCTTGCTATTCTTGTAGTCTTTAGTTTTGCCTCTCCCTCAGACTGTGAGAATCTCACTGTACTAAGTGTGTTTCTGGTGGTTAAAGATTTCTTGTTCTTGCAGCATCACTCCTAAATACAACTCAACTGTCTCACCTGGTGCTCAACCAAAGAAGCAGCAGTTGTTCTAAAGCTGCCAGAGAAATAAATGACAAAAGAAACAGATCATACTCTTTAGATAGATAGAGAATCTAAATTCATGAATCAGAAAAGTTAAGTGTTATCTGCCAGTGTCTCAGACTCTTTGGTGTCATCTATGAGAACAAAGGTTAATGATAGAAACTAAGAAAATAAACACATTTTCCCTTCTGCTCAGTAAATTCTTAGTCTCTAAATTGGTACCTGGGATGGGTAGAGAACATACGTACTTGTAGATTATTTCATTGACAAGTTTATCTATTCCTACTTCCTATTCACATTTCAATAGACAGTGAGTTAAAAGTATGGATGTTTGAAAGACCCTTTGAATGTTTACCTCTTTTTGTGTTTGCTAACTTGAGGGGGTTTTATTTTATTTTTTTATTTTTTATTGATTTTAGGGAGAGGAAGGGAGAGGGAGAGAGAGATAGAAACATCGATGAGAGAGAATATCGATTGGCTGCCTCCTGCATGCCCCTCACTGGGGATTGGGCCCACAACCTGGGCATGTGCCCTGACTGGGAATCGAACCAGCTACCTCTTGGTGCATGAGTCGACGCTCAACCACTGAGCCACATCAGTCGGGCACGTGAGGGGGTTTTAGAGGCTGAAGGAAAGAATATAAAACTTAGTGAAGTTTTAGTTAGTCATTTAATGAAACAATTAAAAAAAATCCTTATCAGAGCCCCTGGCTGGTTTGGCTCAGCAGTTAGAGCATCGGCCCATGGACCAAAGAGTCACAAGTTCAATTTTAGTCAAGGGCATGTGCCTCAGTTGTGGTTTGGTCCCTGGCCCTGGTCTGGGTTGTTCGGGAGGCAACCAATCAATGTGTCTCTCCCACATTGATGTTTCTCTGTCTCTGTCTCTGTCTCTTTCTTTCCCCTTCCCACTCTGTCTGAAAATAAGTGGAAAAATATCCTCAGGTGAGATTTTTAAAAATAAAGTCCTCATGCCCTGGCTGGTTTGGCTCAGCGGTAGAACATTGGCCTGCGGTCCGGAGAGACCTGGATTCGGTTCCCACTAAGAGCACATACCTCGGTTGCAGTTTGTCCCTGGCCCTGGTTGGGTCGTGCGGGTGGCAACCACTTGATGTGTCCCTTTCATGTCAATGTCTCTCTCTCTCTCTCTCTCTCTCTCTCTCTCTCCCTCTCCCTCCCTCCTCACTCTATCTGAACAAAAAATGGAAAAATGTCCTCGGGTGAGGATAAAAAAATAATAAATAAATTAAAAAAAAATAAAGTCCTCATTGGAGGATATGTTTATTGATTTTAGAGAGAGAGGAAGTGGGCGGAAGAGAGAAACATCGATGTGAGAGAGAAACATTGATTAAACTTACAACCTTTTTGGTATACGGGACAATGTTCCAACCAACTGAGCCACCCGGCCAGGCTCAACAACTTTTTAAAAATATAGATATTGTGCCAAAGTATCTTTCGATTGTTAACTCACATACTTTAAAAAGATTCAATTCCCGTTTTGTTCAGATAAATCCCAGGGAACCCTGGCCGGTTTGGCTCAGTCATTGGAGTGTCGGTTTGCAGACCAGAGAGACTTGGGTTCAGTTCCCGCTAAAGGCATGTTACCTCGGTTGCAGTTTGTCCCCGGCCCCTGTTGGGGTTGTGTGGGTGGCAGCCAGTCGATATGTCTCTCTCACATCCATGTTTCTCTTTCTCTCTTCCCCCCTCTCTACCTCCCACTCTACCTGAAGATGAATGCAAAAATGTCCTCAGGTGAAAATTAAAAAAAAAAAAAAGAAAAAGATTCAGTGCATCAGTATATTCAGTAAAGCATACACAAAAATTCCACAGTGATTTTTATACACATATAGTATATTCAGAATATGTTGCTGAATATTGTTTTCATCATGATCAACTAATGTTTCTTGAGTGCCAACTTTATAGCAGGCTCTAATGATAAAACGATAATAAGATTCATACTATCTGTAGGAGCTGACAGTCTAAGAGAAGAGATATACTTATGAATAGATATTTCAGTGTACTGTGAAAGTATGTATTTAATTATCAGCAGTATTCTTCATATTAGGACCTTGTATAGTGCCTGACACACAGTAGACACTCAGTTTCACCATTCCTCTATTGGTGGATAATTAGGTTTGTAGCAGGTCCTGCTTTTTGCCTACCTTTTTCTCCTTTCTTCTTGTCAGAATTCCTGTTTTGTTCAGATAAATGGAATGGGTGCTTCAGGGAGAACTTTTCATTTCAAGGAGGGAAGGTCCTTGCCCTAGTCTCAGGGAATGAATTCATATTGGTCTGAACTAGTTATGACAATCCATTCCCTGTCACCAGTGGATTGATTTAGGGGTAAACATGGGATCCTGTTTTGCCTACTGATATATAAAAGAAACTCTGCTGGGTGTTTGTTTTGTTTTGTATTTTTGGTTATTGTTGTTGTATGTGTGTATAAGAGAGTTTGTGTTTTGAAATATTCTTTTTCCATGCCTGACTGGTGTGGCTCAGTGGTTGAGTGTCGACCCATGCACCAAGAAGTGCCTGTTCAATTTCTGGTCGGGGCACATGCTCGGGTTGTGGGCCCAATCTCCAGTGGGAGGCATGCAGGAGGCAGCCAGTCACTGTTCTCTCTTATCAATGTTTCCATCTCTCTCCCCCTCTCCCTTTCTCTCCTTCTCTCTCAAATCAATAATGAAAAGAAAAGAAGAAGAAATATTTTCTTTCCAGATGAAAAGATTTTTGCAAGGTGAAAGCTTTTGGACCCTTCATTTCACTATGTCATTTCAAATATATATTGTAGCAGCTATCTTGAGACTGTGAGGAGGTGCTATAACTATAGATGAAAAGCACACCTGCTGTGAATCACAGATCAAAGAGTTAGAGAGGGGATGGTTTCTTGGTGATGATGTTGAGTTGGTACAATAAATGTGGACATCCGACTTCCATATATTTAAAAGTCTTTATGGATTAAGTAACAGTTAATTGGCTATTATATCACTTGTACTGTAAGTGGTACAAGGTTGTTTTCTAATCATTTCTGTTCTACATAATGCTGCAGTTAACATCTTATAGAATATATCTTTGATGACATTTCTGATATTTCCTTAAATCAGATCCTTATAAGTGAAATAACTGGATGAAAGAGTGTGAGCATTTTTAAGACTTTTTATACATATTGCCAAATTGTTTTTAGAGAACCTTATTACACTTTATTTTTTCTTTCTATACTTAATAATTTTTCTTTCCTTGAGCCTATATGAGAAAATTAAGGCATGATGATTTTTTTTCATGGCCAGAGCAAGCATTAGTCTTTCCTGAAGCAATGCAGGCTTTGATTAGTATACCAGGGACTCATCCAAATGTCACTGATAAAACAGATTATTAAAGTTTCACCTTTTCTGAGCCCTTTGGTGTTCCTTCTTCATTACTACCTGTCAGAAAGTACTTCCTCTGTAGTAGGGAAGCTAAATTTTCATTTCCTTTAATTGGTTTTATAGTCAGAGAAAGGATTAAAAGGAACATAATCAGCATAGGATATACTAAGTGCATGGGAGCCACCAAAGAGAAAATGTTA